GCGCACATCTCTGTCTCTATCTCTTGTCCGCTTAATGCGCGCGCACATCATCGTAGATAGACCGTGTCGAGGAGGGTACGGTGGATGACCCACCCAACCCCTGCCCTCTCCCTCTCTCTCTCTCTCACCTGCATCTCTCCTCTGTCACCCTCATTTAGTCCCGTCGTCCGTTTCGCGTCGTCTGCTGTGTCTTTGGGTATTCAAGGGATGTTTCTGCCGCCTTGCGACTGACGCCCGCCTCCCGGCCCGCGACGGTTTGGGAGGCCGGCTGGCGTCGACGCCCGACGCCGCGCGAGTCTAGAGCTTCGACTGCCTCTTGACCTTGTCCTCGGTCGCCTTCCTTCGCGAGTAGGCCGTCCAGAGACCGCTGACGAGGCCCAAGGGCGGGAGGACCCACTGGAGCAGCCACAAGATCCTCCCGCTGCCGGCGCCGTATCGGTTGGTCCAGGAAGAGACGAGCCGATCGACCTGTTGCTTGAGTTGGGGCGACGCGTTGATGCCTTTGGCCCAGCTCGGTCCGTCATTGTTGTCGTCGTCGTCGCCGCCGCCGGAAGATGACGACGACGGTGGCAAGGCGGAGGAGTTGTCGAGCACGACGTCGGCGTAGGGGATTTTTGAGGCGAGTTTGAGCTGCGAGTTGAGCCGATTGGTGGCGTCTTCGGGCGTCAGGCCGCGTTCGGTGTCGCGCTGGAGCATACGGCTGTGCTGGTCCTCCTCGGAGCTGGTGCAATGCGGGGGCAAGGGGCAGGGGAGGAGAAGCGACGTGGAACGAGGAGGACGTGTGAGCGGAAGGGAGCGAGGACGATCGTCCCAGGTGCGGCCATCAAGGCGGCAGCCGACGCAGGAACACACCACCAGACGAGGACGACCTGACCGCAGAACTTCCACATGCCCGCCTCGACGAGGAGGGGCGAGTCGACGACGACGACCTTTTCGCCGCGCAGCCAGTAGCCGACGAGGAGCCACGCCATCCTCCTGCGGATGGCGCCGTGGGTGAGGCGGTTGAGCGTCTTTGTGCGTTGCGGGTTGCCGAACACCTTGCGTCCCAGCGCGGGACGGTTGAGGGTGCCATCGTCGGCCAGGATGTCGGTGCCGAACTCGGCGACGAGCGCCCGCAGCGTCGGTTGGCCCGGTTCGACGACTTGGCGCGCGAGGATGTCGAGGTCGATCAGCGGGATGCGTGATGGGTGCGCCGAGATGAGGCGTGAAGCCGTGCTTTTCCCTGTGAGATGCCGACGGGCGGACGGTGCAGGTGATGTGGGTCAGTTGCAGCTCTCGGTGTGCGTCGACTAGGTGCGAGCCGGCGGACTTACCAGAGGCGATTCCGCCCGTCAATCCGACGACTGAAGTCGGTCAGGCGGCCAAGGGCGGTCGTAGAGGAGCGAAGAGGAGCGAAGAGGAGAGTGGGCAGGACGGACGAAGTGGTGAGTCGATCGTTGCGCCGAGTTGGACGCCATGCTCCTGAGCACCTACCCAGCATGGCGCAGTCTTGGTGCTGAAGATTCTATTGGGGCGGGAGAGAGGGAGCAGGACAGAGGCGAGGGTCTGTTGTGGTCTATGCAGGTTCGCGGGATGGTGGTGGAAGAGCAGAGGAAGGCAAACGAGTCCCGCTCCCCCTGCAGCCCCCTCCCCGGTTCCCACCGGCCAGGGTGTGGAGGAGGCGGGGCGCTGGGAAGGGTGTGCACGCACGAGCCAGCCAGCCCTTTCAGACGCGGCACCCCACGAGATTCGAGGCGGCCCTCGATCCCCCCAAAGTCTTCCTTTGCCCTCTCGGTCGGCCCAAAACCAGAGGGCCCGCTCATCCACTTCAGCTCGCCTTGTCCGCTAACACCTCTTCACAAATGCACGCCAGTGTCTGTCCTGTCGTCCCATGCCGCGCAAGGGGGGGAGCGCCGAACGCGCGATGTCGAGAAGAGTGGGCTGAGTATTTTGAGTTTATCAAAGAACCTTTCGGCGTCGCCGCTGCCTGCACGCGCACAACCGACCAACAGGCAGCTCGGCTTGTTAGATAGGAAGCGTCGGATGGTCGGTCGGCGTCTGTCTGTCTGTGGTCTATGGATGACGATATGCTGGCCCCTCATGATGGACGGGTCAAGGGGGAAAAAGCTTGTTGGGCGTTCTGCGCGATGTCGTTCCTTCTCCGTTGATAATGTAGATGGCGGAATCCGGCCCTAGGCATGTATGTGCTCTCGCTCGATCAAGTGGGCCAGTGTATCGCATCGGTCGAGCGTCGTGTAGCAGGTAGCAGCGTCAGGTGCTGGAGCGGAGCTGACGAGCACCGGACGCCATCGCGCGTTGCCTGGCATCGCATCGACGGCCAGACGGCCGCTTTCGAGGCATCCTCATTGTCTGCCACTCGTCGCTTCACTCGTTGCCCTGCTGCTCCTTGCTTCGAACCGCCGACGTGGCAGTGCCACGCTCCGGCGCGGCTGACGCAGCCTTCTGCTCGGCCTTCCTGCGGTTCTTGGCATGCTCGATAATCGAGCTCGGCAACCTCAGCGAGGTGCGAGGCGGCGAGGGAGGCACCGCGGCGGCGCCCGCGCCCTTGCCCGTCTGGGTCGCCATCATCTGCGGCGAGGTCGTCTCTTCCGAGTCGAGCGCCGACAACCGCGCAAGCTCATCCAGCGTCGCCTCGCTGATTACCGAGCTCGCATCGTCGTTGTCCGGCCCGAGCGCGCGCGCGTCGGCCGGCTCAGCGTTTTCGCTAGCTCGGCGCAGGTACTCTTGCAGCATCGCTCGCGTGTCCTGCACCTGCGGCAGCTGCTGTTGCTGCTGCGATGGTTGGTGAGACATTGTCGCCGGCGTGGGCGGCATGTGCGGATGTTGCTGACGCAGCTGCTGCTGGTGCTGTTGGTCCGGCGCTTGAAACTGTTGCTGATGCGGCGGCGGAGGCTGCTGATGGTTCAGGACATTGAGCTGATGATAGCTCTGGTACTGCTGCTGCTGCTGATGCTGATGCTGATGCTGCGGCACTTGGCCGTACGCGTGCGAGGCCGGGCTGTGACCATGGGGATGCGGATGGTTGTGGAACGAAGAAGACTGCGAGCCGCGCCTCTGATTGTTGCCCGGCTGCGAAAAGGTCCACGTCGGACTGGTCGAGTAGTGATGCGGCCCGCCATTGACGCCTTCGCTGTGCATCGAGGACGAAGCGTGGCTCGAACTCGACAGCCGGCGAGCAGTCTCGCCATTCGGAGCTACCGACAGCCCGGCCATCTGTCCCTCGAGCTCATCCGATGAACCAGCGTTCTTGGCATACGCATGGATGCCTGGCCCGGGCGGCAGACTCGTGACCGGAAGGACGACGCCGTTGGTGGCTCCCGCTGCCTCTCCGTTGGCGGCGGCAGCTGCAGCGGCTGCCGCTCTTGGCAGCGACTTTGACCGGTTCAGCGACTCGGACAGGCTGCGCGCTGTTTTGGTACGAGGACCGCTGCTGAGGTCGTCCCGCGTCGCGTTGACGGGCTCGGGCCCGAAGCTGATCTCGGCACCATACGCAAACGCCTCCTGGGCGTTTGGTCCATTCGACGGGTGAAGCACGCTGGGTAGGGCATGCTTGAAGGACGGCGAGGTGCGCGCGGACGCATGGCCGATGCTGGCCCGCGAGAAGCCGTCGTAGCTGCTCGGAGGGCCCGTGTCACTCTGACCCGAAGAGATGACGGGTTCCTGGGCATGCGCGAAGCGGGGCGGCTGCGGCTTAGGGCTCAGCCCATGGTTTCGAGACAGGGGCGCCAGCATCGCCGTCGTGGGTGGGAACGCGACGCCCTGCCCCAGCCCTCTTGCCATTTGTTCAAAGGCGAAGCTGCCTCCATAACCGCTAAAGGTGGGCGAGTCGTAGCGGCGCGGATTGGCGTACATGTCGCGATACGACCGACCATCGACGCCAGGAGGCCCGTTCTGGTAGCGCGGTCTCGGGTACGGGCCGTCGGGTGCCCGGCTGAGCCCATCTTCGCGCTCCTCGCACAGCTCGGCGATGAGCGCAGAGACGCGCTGCGACTTTGGGTTCATGAGGATCCGGCTGGCCCGCATAAACTCGCCGCGGATCGTGTAGAGGCCGTCCTTGGTGACGGTCCTGGACACGTTGTAGCCCATCTGGAACGGATCCTCGATGCACAGCTCCGAGTTCCAGCTCTTGCTGTCTTTGGAGAGCAGGCCTCCCTCGGTGCGGAGGCTGATGACGTCCTTGGCGTAGCTGAACTCCTTCGAAAAGTACCGGAAGAACTCGATCAGGAGCTCGCCGACGTTTTCCGTGTTCTGAGAGGTCCACTCCTTGCGCAGCGTGGCCACGTCGTCGTAGAAGTAGATGTTGTGGCCGTCGAGCTCCAGCTCCTCGGGCTTGAGCTGCCGCGTCGGCGGCACTCTCTGCAGGTTGGGTAGCACCGCCGGCCTCTTGACGTGGGTCAGGAAGTAGAGCGCGAGCAGCGTGTAGCCGTACGACGACAGCGTGCCCGTGTAGGGCGAATTGAGCTTGCGCCTCTTGGACCAGACCTTGAGGAAAAGGACCAGCGTCCGCAGCCGCGGCGGGTCGACCATGGCGTAGCTCAGCAACAGCCGAGTGTTCTCGAGCGCCAACCTGTTCTCGAAGCCGATGTCGCAGGCGATCTCGTACGGCAGCTCGGGCGTGGGAGCTGGGCGCCAAGGAGAGTCAGGGGCGACACAGGAAAGATGAGCCGAGCCGTATGGACGTCAGCTGGAGCTTGCCGAAGACGGCACGGAAAGCAAGCGAGAGCTTCGGCCTGCGACACTCACCACGACTGATCTTGATGATCGGGATCCGGGCTCTCGGCAGCGGCATGACGTTGAAGTCGGTCTCTGCAGTCGGGTTCGAGTTCGTGCGGGCAAAGATTAGTCGCTGTGCATCGCCGAGGCTGCCATTCGGGCCGGGACGGGTAGTGACTCCTTCCGCCACTGCAGGGTCCGGCTCTCACCTTCTCGGATCAGCTGGCTCAGGATCTCGACGAGCTCCGATGCTGTATGCTGCGTCGCGGGCTTGCCATCCTTCTTGCTGGTCAAGCAGCAGAGGTCCATGTCTGATGGCAGGGACAGGCAGAAAACGGGCGGGAGCGAGAGCAGGCGTTGGTCGTCAGCTCTTGTGACGCAGCGTGGCACCCTCAACCACGGAGGGGTGGGCCGCAGCAGCAGCGGGGACCATGCCAGCCAAAGCGCCCTTACTCACCAGAGTTGCGAAGCGCAAAGCCATTGGCCATGCTGCCAAACGCCAGGAGCTTGGCGCCAGGGCTGACCTTGGACGCCAAGCGTTCCAGTTGCCGCCGAGTCGCCTCCTTGATCCTGTACTCCTCCTCGGTGGGCAGTATCGGACTGAGGAAGGCGATGATGCAATTGGTAAGCTCCGCCGTATGCCGCTCGTAGGCGGCAGGGGTCATGGTGTTCTGATGGCTCGATCCGTGGTAAGGCACAGCGAAGCCGGCCGGGGCGGCGGGGACGTTGCCAGCAGCCATTGCGCTGAGAGAAGGTATCGAGGGCGGGAGGTGCTGGTTGGTCTGAGCTCGCATCCGAGGCGGGCTGCGGCTTCCTTGGGTCGAAGGCGGAAAATGCTGTGGGGGGCCCAGGGTCGGATGCGGTGCAGGAGTGACGGTCGAAGTTGACGCTCTCGCCCTGCCGTTCGCGCCCGCCGTCCCGTTCGGCAGTGCGCTAATCGGTGCGGAGCCACTGATGCCGGGTGTGGACGCAGTCCGCCCAGACGCCGACATGAGCGGGGCTGCCGGGCTGGCGGTGCCATTCTGACCCACGTCGGCCGGCGGCTGTACCGCTGGTTCCACATGTGCCTCGATCCTTGCCTTTGAAGGGCTTGGCGGGAGGCCGGCCGGCAGCGTCGGACTGCGGTGCGAGGACGAGGCCAGCGGTGGGACGTCGAGACGGTCCGAGTTGGGCACCCTCATCTGGGCTGCGCTGAAGCTCGGCCCGGAAAACTTGGCTGTCCCAGGGTCGATGGGTGAGGATGATGCGGAAAGGGCGGCCCGCATCTTGGCGCTGGCTTCGGAGCGGGCGGTGGCCTTGCTGGGAGATGAGCTCGATGACCTTGTGGGCGGTAACCCTGCAGACTTTGGCGCGAGGAGGTCAACGGCCTGGTCATTGGCAGACTGCGGGCGGGCCTCGTTTGTCTGAGCTGGGTCGATACGGGCATCGCCGGAGAGCCGCGAAGGCCCTGGATTTGGTTGCTCCATGCTGAGAGTTGAGCTGTGGAAGGCAGCCTTGTCGAACGAGGGCCAAGGACTTTGTCTGGACCGAGAGCGGTTCGGCTGGCAGGCGGGCGTGATCAAACTGATCGCCGTTGACTGAGGGTGGCGCAGCAAAGACGGGCAGTCGACTCTGCAGAAGCCCAGTCAGGCGAACAATGCCGCAGGCTTGGAGAGTGGCGGCTGGCGGTGCAAGGTGAAAGCCTCGGTCGATCGCCGAAGAAAGGTTGCGCCGTTCTGTAGCGCCGGTGGTGCGACGAGTCAAGCGGTGCTGGGTCGAGGGATTAAGCTGGCCTCAAAGGCGGCTATGCTGAGCTGGGTCGGGTTCCACTGCGGGGCCTGCAAGCACGAGCTGAGCTGCGAGCAATTTGAAACGGCTTCCTGAAGATACTGCGAGACGAGTTCGGGTGGTATTGACGCCCGCTTAGTGTGAGTAGGCAACGCCGATGCCGAGGCTGGACGGACCAGTGAGCGGCAAGGGCAGACAAGGCGGTAGCTGCAAATGCGAGGGCCGACTCGGACAATGGTGTTGGCGCTGGTGTGCAAGCGGCGATGGTCGAGGGGACTCGGAGAAACGGTGTTCCCCGAGGGCGAGGGTAGGCGCTTTTGAGGTGGCGAGTGCGACGAGGTTCTGCTTACAGAACGATGCAGTCCGATGGGCAGTAGTGTCGGGGCAGAGGCTGGCAGACCGGTCGAGACTGGAGCGCTACGCTGAAAGCCGAAAGGTGAAGTGGGGTGAGTGGGGGGGTCGCGGCAAAGCGCTAGCGCAGCCGGCGTAGGGAGTGGCGTCTGAGGGGGAAGCGCAAGGAGATTGCGGGTGCCGCTCAGGGCCGTGTTGGACTCGACGGGCGGGCCTCGGGGGGCTGAAGACTTGCGTGCCGAGGCAGGCGGCTTCGAGCGTCGCACAAGAACGGTACGTAGTCGTGCCAGCGAAGCCGTGATGGGACCGGACCGGCGGCCAGGAGTGGAGCGATGAAGGCCGGAGTCAGTTCGGATGGCGACGGTGACGGGAGACCTGGCGGGTGAGCGAGCGAAAGGGTTTGGAGGGTGGTCGACGTGGAGCGGACGTCGTCTTGGCCTTTGCGTGGTGTTCGTCGCGATGGAGGTACAGTGGTAGTAGTTGTGAGGACGAGGGCAGGTGAGCAGCCTTCGATGGAGAGAGTGGTGCGAGCGCAGTCGGGGTGAAGGTGACGACTGACAGAAGAGAGAGCAGCGGCGGTGAGCGGCAACAAGCAATCAACCAACCAACCAACCAACCAACCAACCAACCCACCAACCCCAGCGAGCCAGCTTGCAAAAGGCAAAATGCCAACGGCGCCCAACCGTACCGGGCGTTGGCTGGCCTGCCTCGCCTCTCGAGCTTGGTTGGGTGCGTGTGCGCTTGGCCTTTTTCGCCTGCCTGCCTGCCTGCCCGCTTCTCGGTCGGTCGGCCGGTCGGGTCGATGTCTGGCCTGCCTGTCTTGGCCTCGCTGGCTGGCTTCGCCTGGCTTGCTGGCTTGCTTGGTGGCTGAGCGTCGAGGGGCGTGCGCTCGCCTCCCACCACAACCGGCTGCTACTCAAGACTCTGCTTGCCTCTCCGCAGCCTCGTACGCTGTCGACGGGTGGTTGCAGACCGATGACCTCGGCCTCGGCCTCCCTTCTCTAGCCTCTAGCTTCCTCAGCCCCGCCCTTTGGCTTGGGAGTGGGTCAACCGGTTCGTCGCGGCGCCGACTGCGAGCATCTCGAAATCAGCTGAAGCCTGCAGAGAGTGTGTAGTGCAGCCTCTCGTCGACCCTGCTTGGCATAGCCAGGCCAACGCTTTCCTTTCTCCCAGCAGCACCCCAGCGTGGGAGCGTGCAAGGGACGCGTCTTTCCCGTGGCTTCTCACGCTCTCTCAACCCGCATCATCGCCGTCGTCCGTCCCCTTTCGTCGCCGGTGACCCCGAAGACAAAGCCAGCGCGGGCCTGCGCCGCGTGCAGAGGTTGCAGCCAGGCTCTGGGACCCCACCACCGCAGCCCCCCACGCCTTCTTCGGATATCGGGCAGCGCACCGTCGCCCTCAGGCCAATACGTATCGGCGTCTCGCGCGAAAAACGGGTCAGACAGTCTCGTCGCGCCCCTCCTCCTCGATCCTCCGTCGGTCGCAGTGCTCAACAAGGCAGCAGGCCCTTGGCACAGAAAAGAATGGCAATTAAGGTGGCGAGATGGCCAGGCCTGGGCCCGGCGTAGGAAGCATCAGATGGGGGCGTCGTGCTGGATCATGCAGAGAGAGAGAGAGGCTGATGGCCGGCAAAAGGCAGATGCACGCTGATAGGCTGGCTGTCGTCCACCGGCCTGGGCAAGGGCGTCATCCCTTGGTCGTCGAGTCGCTGTTCCAGCTTTCGCGTTGTCGCGCCGCTCCGCCGCCGCCGCCGTGGCCCGCACTCGTGCGTTCGCCATCGTCGTCGTCGCCGTCGTCATCGCCGTTACCTGCATCGTCGTCGTCGTCTTCGGCCTCGGCCTCGATCCTTCGCGCCACCTGCAGCAGTTGCGCAATCTCTGATCGCTCGCAAGGGTTGGAAAGGAACTCGCTCTGTTCGAGGCACGTCGTCAATCGCAGCACAAGAGTAGGCTCTTTGTGTCAGCTCTTGTCTCCGCCTCGCGGTTCGGTGTCGTCGGCCGGCAAGCGCGGTGGGCTGCACCTCGAGACTCACCATGGCGAGCATTTCGGCGCTGGGCCGCTTGTCCGGATCCATCTCGGTGGCCCAGTGCAGGAACTGCTTGAGCTCATACGACGCTGCGCTCGGGTCGCTCAGCGCAGGCAGGCCCATCTTGGCCGTCAGCGTGATGGCGCGCAGCGGCGGGAAGTCGACGCGCGGCGGATCGCCCTCGATCATCTCCCACAGCACCACACCGAGCGACCAGATGTCGCACCGGACGTCGTACGAGTCCGCCCGGATCACTTCGGGCGCCATCCAGTACGGCGTGCCCACCACCGAACGCCGGCTCACGTTGCCCGGCCCGAGCTGGCTGGCGTGGGTGAAGTCGCTGATCTTGGCCGCCCCCGACGCAGAGAGCATGATGTTGTCCGACCGCACGTCGCGGTGGATGACCTTGCGCGCGTGGAGGAACTGGAGCGCGTCCACCAGATCGGCCATGATGCGGCTCATGTGGTCCTCTTGGAGCTCGATGCCGGCACCCTTGAGCGCAATCAGATCCGCCAGGCTGCGGTCGGCCAGCTCCTGCACAATCCACACCGCATCGCCCTGCAGGAAGACGGCGTCGAGGCTGATGAGGTGCGGGTGGATGCAGCTGCGCCACAGCGCCACCTCCTTTGGCAGCTCCTGCAGCCGCAGCGACGTCTCGCCCTCGGCATCGGGCACCTGCACCACCTTGATCGCGACCCTGCCCCGGCTGGCCACCTTTGTGGCTGCGTAGACCGGTCCGCTCTCGCCGTCCCCAATCATCTCGATGTCTTCGAAGCTCCCGGGTGCGGGCGTGGGAGAGAGGATGCCCTCGAGGTAGGCTAGCCTCTCCGGCAGATGCGGCGGGGTCGGTGCCCGGACTGGGTCGCGGCTGGCCACCGTGGGCGCCGCCTTTGGCTGGGTGCGATCGAGCCGCTCCGGCTGCGACGGGGCTTTTGGAGTCTGTTGATTGGAAGGTGGAGCCGTAGGACGCGAGTCGTGCTGTATCACGGGCGTCGGCGCCTGCGCCTGCGCCTGCGCCTGCGTCTGCGGCCTCGTCTCGGTCGCGGATGGTCGAAGCCCCATGTTTTGGGTGGCAAACTCCTTTGGTGGCGGCAGCGGCGGCACGGGCGGCGTGTCATCGACGCCCAACGACATGGGCATCACGTCGTCCAGATCCATCGACTGCCGCGCCAGCATCAGCTCCCGGAACGTCCGGATCTTCTCGTTGTCGTCGCCGAACACCGAGTCTGTATCAAACCCGCTGGCGTAATGCATCGAGACGGGGAAGCGACGGACGTCGCTGCTGACGCGGTGAGGCGGGAAGGAGTCGGGGCCGTGGTGCTCCCCAGGGCCACCATGGCTGTCGAGGAACTCGGCTTCGTTGCCTTCCCATTCCATGCCATCGCCGTCGTCGAGGTCGTCGTCGTCGGGCCGGCTTCTCGTAAACGTGGGCACCGGCGAGCGTGCAGCCGCGCGAACGTAAGGGCTCGCCTTCTCCGTCGCCTCAGACGCGGGCTGGCTGGTGCTGCTGCGCGGAGAATCGCCGGTAGAGCCAGCCGCGGACGCCGTGGTGGGGATGACGGCGGGCAGTGCTGTTGCAGGACCGTGGCCGGGCACCTGGCGCAAGTCTTGCGGGGAGTGAGCGCGCTGAGGTTTGGATCGACTGTCGCTGTCGTACTGCTGCTGCTGCTGCTGCTGCTGCTGCTGCTGCTGAAACTCTCGATCCGCTCTCGAGTCGACAGAGGGCGGTGAACCGTGGTAGGCTGGTTGGAAGAATGGCGAGGCACGTGTAATGTCCGATGGACTTTCTGGCGCATCGGCAAACGCAGGCGTCATGGTCGACGACCGCACAGAGGCGTCGTCGTCGGCGAGCCACTCCTCGACCGCATCGTCCGCGTCGCGCGGGTCGCTCGAGGGCGAGGGGAGCGTCGGAGGGTGCACCCTTGCCGTATGCTCGCGCCCAGCTCCGGCGGTGCCAGCATCATTGCCTGCGCTCCGTGGTCCAGAGCTCGAGGAAGGCAGTGAGTAGAAGCCATCGGCTCCAGGCAGGATGTATTCGGGCTGCCTCGGAGCCTTTGAGGGCTTTGGTGGAGGAGGTGGCGGCGGCGGTCCTACTGAGCTTCGAACTGAGCTGAACGAGCCCGAGCTCGACCGCGAGTAGGGCGCGTTGGTGTGCCCGGTCGACGCCGAGAAGATCGAGTTGTGCTGCAGGTCAGAGGACCTCGCCAGCGAGCTGTGCGACTGCGCCGAAGCCAGCTCGCTGTCCGAGACCATGCTTCGTGGAGAGGCCCTGCCGTGCCCGTGCCCGTGCCCTTGGGACGACACGCTCGCCGAACCCGCGCGGATATAGTCCGGCGTCCGGTTCCGCTCAAAGAGGCTCTCCTGCTGCGCCACCCGAGCCAGGCTATCCTGAGACGTCTTCTTGCTGACGTTGGTCGGCGTCGCCCTCCTGAAGCCGGTCCCGTAGGGCGAGCTGGCCTCCTCTGAGGACGCAGACGCGGCAGAGGCGGCGGCATTCGACCATCGCGTTACTGCGGTTGAGGGCGGGTAGATGCGAGGCGGGATGTTGCGCCTCTCGCGAAGGCCAAGGCCGCGAGCGCGATTGTGGTTGCTGTCAGAGGAACCGCTGTTGGTCTGGCTGTGACCCTGGCTGTGACCCTGGCTGTGACCCTGGCTGTGGCCCTGGCTGTGGCTCTGGAGGCTCTCCGAACAGCTAGACGCTGCTGACGCGGATCCCAGCCGGGTCCAGCTCTCTTGCGTCAGCGGGCGCCTCGATAGCAACGGCGATGCCGAGGCGCTGGGCACCGGGCTTCGTGCGGGATAGGCAGCGTGTCCTGGCGCGTGGTCGGGCTGGGCGGACTGACTGCCGGATCCCGGCCAGTCCTTGGGTGGGACGATGGGCGAAGCGGTAGTGCGCAGCGAACTGCTAAAGGAGGCTGGCGATCCGGGCAGCGCAGCGGCGTGATAGCTGGCCCCGCTCAGCAACGGCGAGGGCTGTGATGGCGACCGGGCCGACAAGCCAGGACTGAGGTTGCGATGGTAGCCCGACGAGTGGCCAGACGAGCTGGCACCCCCGGGCGACGACGCTCGCTCCGGGTCGGTCATGCCACGCCATCCTTCGTGAGGCACCTGCAGCGGTGCTGGACTGTGACCTGGCCGCGAGATCATCCGCCTCTCGATGGGCGGGGCTGGCGCTGCGTGGTGGTTGGACCCGGACGTCATCGTCAGCCTCGACGTATGGCTGTGGGCCGAGTTAAAGTCGGTCGAAGTCGAGCTCGGACTGATTCCTGGACTAGAGAACTCTGGCGTCAGGCCTGCCGGCGAATTGCGGCGGCCGCTCAGCATCGAGGCGCGGATCGGCATAGGCTTGCCCTTGGTAGCCTTCGACGCCTGGGTGATGCGCACCTCCTCGGCATCGTCGTCCTCGTAATCGATGTCGCGGTAATCGATCTCGGTGTGCTCGGTCCCCGCGATGTTCAGGTTGCGGCCGCTCCGGTAGCCTGCGTCCGGCTCTCCTCCGTCCCAGTCGCGCGTGGCGGCGGCATCCTGGCTGCTTGCGGGCGAGCGAAGGCTGCCGCCCTGATGTGGGGCCGGTGGTCTCGGGGCGACGGCCGTGGGCGGCGCGCTCAGCTGAGCTGCCTTAGTCTTTGGCGATCGGCCGGTGCCGTGGATGCCGAGGCCGCCGATCATGGGAGAAAGGTGGCCAGCCGGCTTTGGCGATGACGGCGATGGCGATGGCGACGAGGACGACGACGGCTGTGGTTGCTCGCCCTGGCTCGAGCTGCTCGGCGGCTCGGTGGCGGGCAACGCACTGAGCAACGAAGAGGCCCAGTCGTCGTCTGCCTTGAGGTCCGGAAGCAGCGGACTCTTGCCAAACACGGGCGAAAATTCGACACCTTCCTTGAAGGCCCCCTGTGGGCTAAAGTCCCAGGCCTGCTCGAGGACGCTGCTGTAGGACGTGCTGGCGACCGACGCTCGATTCCGGGCGTGGGGCGACTGGGCCGCGACGAGATCAAAGTCAATGTCTTGCTGCTCCTGCCGCAGCTGGCCGTAGAGCCGGTCGCGGGCGAGCTCCGGGTCCTCGCCGCGCTCCGCCTCCTTGCGCACGTAGTACTCGGTCCTCTCCTTGATCAGCCTCGCCGCCGCCGCCGGATCCTCGCGCACCCTGTCGGCATCCATGCCGTAGGCGTTCAGCACCTGCGCCCAAGAGCTGGGCAGGCCAGTGTAGCCCTGCGGGCCAACGTCGACGTGGACGTTGTGCGAGACGTCATAGGGAAGACCGATCCTGGGGTCGTCCTCGTACGTTGGCTCGGCCAGACCAGCGTACGCATCCGTTGGACTGAGATCGGCGTCGGCGCCGTCCGAAGCGACCGTGGGCGCCTTGGCGTGGTTGGCCGACCTCTGGAAGAAGCCGTGCGACGAGCCAGAGTGCGGCCCTGACGTTCCGCCATCCTGCGCCGTCAGGGGCCGGCGCAGCTTTGCCGCAGACGCCTTGCCCAGCTTCTTGAGTCCGGCGCTGACGGTGGCCGAAGTGGCCGAGGCGCCAAACCGGATCGACTGCAACGCCTTGGGAGTGTCGGGGCCGTTGAGGCGCGGACTCGGTCCGGGTCCGGCCGTAGCGTACCGGTCACCTCCGGCGCTGTGTAGGCTGCCGTTCTCAAGCGAGTTTCGAGGACGGGGCTCACGCGACTGCACCTCGATAGGAGATCGCCAGCCCGAGGGCCCAGCGCCGTGGTCGGGCTCGTAGCCGGCATGGGCTTCTGGCGGAAGATCGGGCAGGTCACGATGCACATTGAGCGCCGTCTTGGGTCTCAGAGTGTCGGAGCTCGCCGTCGGAGCCGCCGTCTGCTGATGGTAGCGCTCTTCGGGGCTGAGGTAGGTCTGCTTGCCGTACGAGGCGGCGCCCCGGCTGTAGGGGTCATCGAGGGCATCGTCTGACCTCGACCAGCCCTGAGGAGAATCGCCTTGGCGCCAGCCGCCACGCTGGTCTATGGAAGAGGTGCTCGAGTTGTTCCAGCGCAGCTTGGAGAGCCTGAGGGCGTTTGAAGTCTTAGGCGTCCTCTCACCAGACTTGGTGGCGGCGGCGGCTGCACCGAGCATATGAACGGGACGCGCCGCCGAGTCGAGGGGAGCGAGGCGGGGGGCGGTGAAGGGGACTGTCTGTCTGCGCCGTCGCTGGAGGTGTCAGGCCTGGAGCGCAGTGATTGGAGTCTGCAGGCAGGAGGTGGAAGACGACGGAAGGCGTCGCCGTCGCTGGTGGAGGATGCTAGGTGCAAGGGAGCTGGGGAAGGCTGAGGGTGCAGCGAGTCTGTTGGCATCGAGTCCAAGGCGTGGCCAGTGAGGTGCCTCTGACGTCGAAGAGGCCGGTCCCTTGCTGCTTTCGCTCTGGCTTGCCTAGGGACGACGGCGTTGCTGGCTGATCGAGGCGCTTGGCGCAGCGCAGAGGCTCTTTGTACGCCGGTGGGCCCCGATGCAGTGGACCGTGCGACTGGGTGGATCGCAAGGGCCGTATGGGACAGAAGCAGAGGTGCAATGAGGCGTAGGGTAGGCAGGCAGATGGCGAAGTGCGTAGCGGCGGGTATACGGTAGCTTTTTTACGCCAGAGATTAAAGCAGGCAGGTATGTAGGTAGATACGGGTCGAGTTGCGATGGTGGGCCGATGATCCTGGAACCCGATGCGATCGGCTCGATGGGACCGGCGCGGCCAAAGAACGGTGGGACTGGCCGGCGCGGAGTGGGCGCGAAGGGTGGGTGGCGGCGGTGGTGATGGCAAGGGCGGCGGTGGTGACGGCGGCGGCGGCGATGGTGGTGGTGGGTGTTGGACGGCAGACGGAAAGGTCCAGCTGCCCGCCTCGTCCATGCATCACGTGGAACCGTCGGAAGGCGGCGAGGCTGTCCAGGCAGCCGGGGCAGCAGATGAAGGGCGAGCAAGCCAGCAGCCCAGCCAGGGCAAAAAGTTAAGGGGCCTCTGCTTTCGGAAGACGCGAGCGTGGACGTACGGCCTGGCTTTGCGCCCGCCTCTTTTCCTCTCTCTCTTCACAGGGCCCGGTCGCCACCGAGGACGAGGCCCTATCCCAGGCCAACGAGCGCTATCTCAGCCCAAGAGCAAGGAGCCCCGGCTCGCCACGGGGACCATGATCATCGAGCGGGGCTTCCACTGCGCTGGGCGTCGAGCGGCAGTCGGCCTGCGCTCAGCGACGAGGTGCGCAGCCAGATCATCACGAGTAACTAAGGACTGCAGTGCTTCGCGCGCTTCGCATCCTTTCATCTCGTGTGCCGTGCACCAAGAGCACCCCCCAGGCTGGCCAGACCATCTGTCGTGCCGCCTTGGACTCGACCTTGCCGCAGCACTCTCGCGACGGCGGCGCAATCAGGACGTGTCTTTGCGGTCCTCGACCCTGACGCCAGCCGCCGAAAGCGCTTTGACACTCAACTGCAGGTATGTAGATTGGGCGCCGGGCGCCTTGACACACACAACCCGGCCCGATGGGCGCATGGAAGCCGCCGACGGTTCCAAGGCTGAACAGCTAGCTGGCCACCCTTAGTGCGCTTCTACGAGCTGTAGGTCGCAGATGAGGTGAAACATACTGCGTATCCAAGCAGCACACTAATCCTAGCACCATAAGACTCTTGACTCTCATCTGCGATGCGAACGAACAAGGCACGGAAGCGCCAGCAAATCACCTGGCGGGACGGAGCGGGGCCTCAGTCGACACGGGATCGACCAGCTCGATGATAGCGATGAGCTGCGAAAGATGCAGTCCGATAGAAGAAAGAAGATTGGCAAGGTGAAGCCCATCAGTTCAGGGCGCGCTGCCAGGCATCGCACCCTCTTCTGTCGTGCTTCTGACCCGCATCGACGGCACGGGAGATGACAGTCCCCTCACCGTTCTCGCCGTGAAGCGACACTGTTGCACCGGTAGCAGGCTCAACCCAAACCATGGCCGTTCCGCCGATCGAAGAGGTCCAACGGCCGACCAGGCGCCCTCACGCCGCTGTTTCACGATTGAGGGCCGACCAGACCATCCTGCGACATTCCTGTGATGTGTAGAACAAAGGTGGGTAGCGGTGGGGCCTCCGTCTCGTCCAAACCCACAATGGCACCAGGCAAAGACGTCCACGAGACCCGTCGTCGAGCGAATCTATGTAGGTGGGTGAGCACGACACGACGCACCGAACGACGAGCCGCGAAGGAGGGAGAAGGAGCATGGGGCGGCGCGAGTTTCATGTCGGCGATTGACAGCGGGGCCCTCGCAGCTCGAGATGCCCGGATCTCAGGCAGGTGGCTCCAGGCAAGGAGGCTGGTACAGCAACAGCTTTCGCTACGACATGCTCGACGCTTGCTTGCTTGCTTGCTTGCTTGCTTCCTACATAGACGGTCTGGCCTGGACCGGCCTGGCTGGTCGCTGGACCACGGCGTGGGACCACACCCGACTGGACCAGAACAGATCGACTTGCTTGTCGGCCTCCTGCATCCGAGCGTGTAGCCAACCATTGGCCGCTGGACGATTAGCCTCGATTTGGCAGCCGACCTCGGCCTGCACATACACCCCGGCCTACCGTAGCTGGCCTGCCTGCGTGCGCTGGAGTATCGGCCTACTGTTTGTCGGTCGGAAGCGCTCTGTCGAGATTGCGCAGGCGAGGCGAGGTGGAAAGGCCATGCAAGGGCCCCCCCTGCCTTCCTCGCTGTTCCCCTCCTGCCTCGTACGTCGTCGTGGCCTCCTCCTCGGCTTCTGCTTTGGTCGGCTACGTGCTCCTCCTCCTTCCCCCGCCGTCCGCTGACGGGGAGAGGGTTCCGAATCCCTACCCTATGCTTTCCAGGCTGCGGTCCCTCCTTGCACGCCCTTACCCAATCTCGGGAAGCCAAAGGCCAGACGACGGGGGGGGGGTCCTTCGACAGCTGGCTCCTACCTAGCTTCCCGGCTCATACCGCGCCGTTGACGCTAGCGCACTTCCACGGGCCAGACCAGAGGGTCAAGGCGGCAAATGAGCCCAGCATACACAGGCCCATCATCACACCACTACTGCTACTTGTGCTCCAGTGGGGACCGAGTAGATCCCTTCACCTGCCTGCTGGTCGGCCAGAGCGCTCTTGTCGAGCGTCTTTCTTCCTTGGCAGCCACGGCCACGGCGACGATCTAAGGCTCAAGCTCCACGGTCTCGACGCTCTCGTGTACTTCTATAACTATACATGCACATGTACGCTCATGCCCTTGCCGGCATGAAGGTTCGGCCTCGCCTTGGATGGTGGCGCATCTACATACACCACTGTAGGCCGACCTCGTTCGCAGCCTCAACCTCGAGATTTCGCATGTGGGGCTTAACAAGCGCAGGTCGTCATCTCTCAGCGGTCCCTTGCTTGTCCGCTCGAGTTCCTGGATACGCTTGCGCTCTGCTGTGAATGGGTGGCTGACCGGTTGCCCTGCGCCTCGGCGACTGTCGAGTGGTATCAAGGCGTAACCCCCCCCTGCCCGCTGCAGCACAACGGTGGGAAGCTTCATGTATGGAGACCCCGCCCAAAGCAGCGGTCGACACGGCCCGGGCCCGTCCAAGCTCGTCACCGCTCGCAACGGCGGTTGCGCACGCAGCGGTCCGCCCGTATGAGAAGAGCTAAGTACATAAGGCCGTGCTCACCCCCCGTTGCCAAGGCGGGTGATGTCCTTCCTCGCCCCTGCCCTCCCTTCCATCGTCCCTCATCCGTCCCGGGTACATATATAGGTCTCTCTCGCGCCTCTCCTTCTCTCCTCCCTGTCTGCTGCAACCTCCCAGCAGGCATGCCGTCTCCTTAGCACCGCAACAGCTGAGCTAGTCTCGCCACTCCAACCCTTTCCAGCACTCGATTCGCTACGCCGCGCCATTCGCCACACACCCGCCCGGTCTCGCCTCGTGCCGTCTCGTTTCGTCTCGTCTTGTTTCATCTCTCATTCCCGACCCTCTGCCGCACCCGTAACGCCAATGCTCGCCCGTCTAGAGGACAGATGCTCGCTGAGCAGTCCAATGAGCTTCAAGGGACGCAAGCTGTTTGGCGGCAGCTGTGCCGACTCGCCAGATCCCTCAGAGGCTTCCGCTGCGTCGCGCCGGACCAAGCCGCGCTCCGCCACCATCTCGATGATGCCCGGCACAAAGCGGGTGCACTCGCCACTCCTCCCCACCGGCTGGTTCGGAAAGTCGCAGGAGGACGACAGCATCTCGAGCCGGCTCCAGGGCTCCTCGTCGTCCTGCTCGCCTGCCGGTCCCAGCCCCTCGATCAGCGCAGCATCGGACCTGATGATGCCCGACCGGTCCTCCAACAACGCTTCCCCGTCGCTGCCTGTCCAGCCGGGCGCGCAACAGCAAGGGGACAAGCTGCAGCGGAGGCGGCGGTCGTTCTTCTTCAAGAAGCGCAAGGGAGGAGCAGGCGGGGAGGACGCTGCCTCTGCCGCGGCTGCCGTCGAACTGCCGCCGCTGCCCTTTGCCAGCACCCACACCTACACCCCGCCACGACCTCAGCCCGTCGTGTCGGCAAAGAAGCTCGAGGCGAGGCGGCTGCAAGATGAGCAGAACCTCGCGGCCCTCGAGCGCGTCTCTGACCTCGTCTGCCAGTCCGTTGCGACGGCCGTCATCGAGCCCCTCACGCCTCCAGGCCCACGCGGCGGCATCAGCGTCGCCGCAGTCGAGCGGCGCCTGGCGAGCTCGAGCTACGCCTCGCTGGCCTCTCCACCCTTTTCGGACTGCGGCGAGGACCGCGTTCAGTCGCCGTCGGTTGGCGGGTCTTACACACAGTCGTCCGAAGGTGGCTGGCTGTCAGATGCCTCCGAGTTCGCCCTGTACCAGCGCACTCCTCCCGACCAGAGCGTGCTGGACCGCGTGCTGCTGCCGTCGTCGATGAAGAGCATCAAGCGTGAGGGGCGCAGACATCGTCCCGCCGCCCTCGACCTGACCGCCGAGAGGCCTCCTTCCACCCGTTCCGGCTCCGACGTCGGCCTGCCCAGGTCAGCCACGTTGCGGGGCTCGATCGATGCCGCCGACTTCGACCTCTACCTCAAGTCGCCCACCTGGATCCCCGAGGCTGTCCAGGGCCCGGCGCCACCGCCGCGTCCAGGCCGCTCCGGCTCGCAGCGCATGCGCACCGCCAGCCTGAGCATGCCCCGCTCCCGCCCACCATCGTCGGACCAGCTCTCGCCGACTAGCCCCACCAGCCCAGGCTCGCGCAAGAGCCACCGAACGACGCTCAGCACCATCTCGTCCAACTCGTCGACCGAGGATCTGGGCCGCACCATGCACTCTCCGCGATCGAGAATGTCGATGGGCGACATCGACTCTCGCCCCTCGACCCGCCACCCGACCGTCGACTCGCCATTTGCGACGCCGACCTTTGGCTATGATCCACCGTGGGGCCAGTTCCCCTAGATTCCAGAGATACCCACGAGGTCGCTCGCCTGCCTGCCTCGTCCCCCTGCCTCCCTGATGTGCCACGCCTGCCTCGAGCAGCCCACACCTTCGTTAGACACAGCGCCTCCGCGCCTGCGCACTCCGCCTCGTTCCAAAAGGATGTCCGGACGGGACCGTCGCAATGGCCCAGTCCGTCCGCCCCGAAGACCCACACCTTCTTTTGCTGCACCACCACCCTGTACTTGTACGCTCGCGATCCGCCATTGGCGAGACACCTGAAAGACGAGATCCCCTCGTGCGTGTGTGAGAACGGTGCGGCAGGCTGTGGCCGTGCGGATGTGGCGACGGGTAAAGTTGTCTGCGTGTCGCTGGTGGGTGCTAAAAATACAAGGTGAGGGTGGCGGCTGTTGCAGGCCTGGAGCGCTCGACGGCTGCCATTGTAGACGGGCGGCTTGATCGGCCCTTGGCCCGTCAGGGAAAGGGTCAGGCGAGCTGACAGGATGCTCGGGCGAATGTGGTTTGGAGAGGTCGGATACCGCCCTCTCAAGCCTCTCGCAGCTGCTTGCGGAGAATGTCCCTTTGAGCCTTGGAGACCTGTGCCGGGTGAAGCAGCCGGAAGCAAAGCGGATCGAGCGTCAGCGTCGGCCGCCATCCTATCGCGAGGGTTTGGCAACCATTCCAGAACCCCCGACTCACTTTCCAGTAGAGGTCCTTGTTGTTGACGTGCTCCTCGATGCGGAGGTTGCTCGGCCAGCTGGCATCGGCGTGTGCTGCGGCGTCGGTGGCCTTCTTGGCGAGCTGCTGGGCTACCGTCCGGTCATTCTGGGCCTTTGCCTGCTGCGGGTTGCCCTTGGAGAGGGGCTGGGTGCCCGACCGAGCGACACGGGCCGTCGCGGTGGGTGGCAGCCGGATCGAGGCAAACGAGCTGGCGGGCAGCGGCTTGACGTTGACGAGCAGGGCGGTAGAGGCGCGCATCTCGTTTGCGGCGTTGTGAGCGAGGTCGTGACGGCGAAGGCAGTGGGAAAAGATGGTGGCCGGAGGTGAAGATAGGCAAGCTGGAGTGGCCGGCAGGTAGCCCAGCAGCGAAGGGTTGTCGCCGCGAGAAAACCCGACGAGGGCGCCATTTTTCACGGCCGAGAGAGAGGAGACCAGTCTGGCGGGGCGTTGGAAGTGCCGCCTTCCTCCACAAGGGAGCAAGAGGTCCGCACGCGAGGGCCAGAGGCAGGCAGGCAGGCAGGCAGGCAGGCGGCCAGAGTCAGGGCAGGGCAAGGTGCACAGATCGCCCGCACCGCCTTCGTCGAGCTTCCTCACCCTCGACCTTCCTTCTTCCATCTGCCAGACCGCCTTGCTCAGCGTCGACCTCCCATCCTCAACCTCTGGCTCTTGCCACCGTTCACCTCCAAGCGCTACCACTTCATCATCCGCCGCTGTACCCGAGCCGCCACCAGCGAGCCACCGCCAGAGGACCCCTCCGACCTCGACCGCCCCCGACGGTGCACGAATATCCAGCGCATACCGACTATCCCGGCACAGGCAAGCCGCAGGCAGCCTGTGAGGCCGCAAATACCATCTCCCGAGAGTTGCTGGGGCTTTCAGTCGTTCCGCTGCGTTGTCAGCGGCTGTTGGGGACACTGAAGCTGACTGCGGACCACAGGAGAGCTGAGCAAGCATGTCATCGGAAAGCGTAGGGTGAGCTAGCAGCCCTCAATCAGATCCTTACAGTCGTTCCGATCAACCGCCGCTCATCTCAATACTGCGCGTATCCGACGCCTCTGCTCGCCCCCTGTAGCCAGCTGACGGCGATCACTGGCTGTTCCGAGGCGGCGGCCAAGGAGCTCCTTTCGGTGAGTAGCCACAGCATCGGGCCCAGCCAGGGCGTTGCCAGAAGGACGCAGACGCTGACACCCGCTGCCTTGTCATCCCATTCCTTCATGCCGCAGAGGTACGATGGAAACCTCGAGCGGGCGCTCAACTCCTTTTATGAGGCTCAGGATGTGAGTCGAAGGTCGAGGCTGCCGCTTCGCTGAGCGGAACCTGACCTTCTTTTGCCGACCGCTCAACCTATCCGGCAGTCGAACAGCCAGGCCCCCTCTTCCGGAGCGGGAACATGGCCAGACACGTTTGCGGATCCGCACTCAGGATGGTCCAAGCCTGTCGACCCTCCGCCCTCGTCAGCCGGATCCGCTCCGGCAGCAGGCAGTGGTCTACCCGCACGGCCGCAGCAGTCGGTCACGTTCCATCAGCCTTGGAACGAGCCTCCAGCGTACGATGCGCAAGCAGGTGAGCCTGTGCCGGGCGTTCGAGGCTATACTCGCCATAACGCCTGCTGACCATCGTCATCTGTGCCGCGGCTGTGCATCACGACATCGGTCCGCCTCGACCAGGCGGGAACAGCAAGGACAACACCCTCCCGATCGACCTGACGGGCGATGGGATCGATGACGAGGACATACGCAAGGCCATGGAGGCATCGCTGCAGGACTCACAGCCTGGTCAACACTACGCTCCGCAGCCGGCCGCTTCGAGCCAGGCCATGATCGGCCCCATGCCGGAATCGCAACAGGTGAGTTTGGTCAAGCTCGCGGGCTCCCTGCTTTCCCGAGCGCGGTCCTAAGGCGACGCGAAACGATGCCTCGGTTGCTACCCGCCGGCTCCCCTTTGCGAACCACACAAAGGTCCTGATGGTGCGGGGAAGTCGAACAGGACTCGCTCGAAAGCGACGATCGGTCTCCCGCGAGGCAGAGAGCCAGGCCGGCTCGGACGTGGCTGCCGATGCTGTTGACTTGCCGGACGCTGCTGCCGTCGCCGATGCCGAGTCGCTCGCATCGCGCGCGCACAACCTGAGGCCACGACGGAACATTGTGGCACCGAGTCGCGGCATCGCCCCCCCTGCCAGCCTGAAGCTGGCGCCGGGGGAAAAGATGGCGGCGCGACGAGGCCGTCATGCGGGCACCCGGATATATGGCCGCCGTCGCTCGGGACGGCTCAAGGGCTCGAGCTTTGATGGTATCGACTTCGACATGGTGGGCATCGCTTGCGATGATGGCCGGCGGACTCCAGCTCGCAACTCCGCAGTCGCGGAACGGCACGGAGGCAGGAGGGATCCTGGCTTGCTGCACATGTTCCGGCCCCTCCTCGACCGGCCCGGTCCCGCCTCCTGCGGCTCGCACCTAGATCTGGCGCACCTCGATCTCGGCGTTGGACTGATCACAAGGTTCGCTGACGGATCGATGCTTCCTCTGTCTCTCTGTCGCCCACAAACACCGCTAGACGCTTTCCGAAGACGAGCAGCTCCGTCAAGCGCTGGAGGCCAGCGTCCAGAGCCACAACGGCGGTGCATTCGGCACAGAAGCATCAGGGTCCAGGACGCCGCTGCTGCCGCCGCACTTGGAGCTCGGTGAGCAGAGCCAGCGCAAAGACGGGGCTCCCGTCGCGCTGGTGTCCCCCTTTGCGACGATCGACGTGATCGCTGCGGTGCTTCAGGCAATGTTCGCCTCGACGCCTGCGCGTCATGCCTTTCTCAACTTCTTCCCGCACGACGAGAGGGTCACGGACTTGGCCAACTACTGGAAGGGCGTATCGCCGCGGCCCGATACGAAGACGCCGCTGTTTGATGAGGTCGACGACCGCCAGAAGGCGCAAGTCGACCTCTGCCGCCGCATCCAGACGCTGTTCGCCTTCATGAACCAGTCGGAGCGCGCTGTGTGCGTTGTCACCGACGTCTCGAGCCTCACGTCCAACGGCGTGCACATGATGGGCGCCAACAAGGTGCCACCCAGCACCATCGCCACCACCTACTACGAGTTTGTCCTTAGCAGCTTCGAGGAGGCCGTCAAGGCGGCAACGGCCGTCTTGCCGCCGCCGTCGCAGACGGATGAAACGCCGCCGCCGCCGCCCACCTTGGATGAGATTCAGCAGCGGGTCAAGGAGGCGCAGACAAAGATCAGGTGAGTCGAGGGCGAGCGAAGGCCGGCGGGCCCGATCTCGCACGGGCACAAAGTGACTGTGCTCGCAGATGCTAATGTTTGATGTCGCCGCCACTGCTTCTCCAACACAGCATCCTCCACTCCTACGGGGCCAAGGCTTACGCCTCTCCGCCATCGCCCGTGGATGGCCAGGACGCCGACGATGTCCCGCCTCCCGACGGGATTCCCGTGGCCCGAGCCCATATCCGAGTGGAGCACGACTCGGTCAACCATGACATCTCGAGCTGCCTTCGAGCTGCACTCGCTGCGGACGGCGAGGGCGCCCTGATCACGGAGCCGGCCGCAGTGCTGTCGATGGCAATCGACCACCGGGCCGGCGAAGAGCCTCTGCCGCCGTTTGCGGTCGAGGAGACGCTGTTCCTGGACCCGTTTCTCTGGGATCGGCGAAAAGGCCTGCGGCTCGAATCTGAGCTGTACGCGCCAGAGATCCAGTCGACGCTTGCCACGATACAGAAGCTCGAGGCGCGGAAGCAAAAGCTAGACGGCAGCGGCGACAAGGAGCCGGCAGCGCTGCTCAAGGGCGCGATCGACTACTTCGAACGGCTCACCGACGACGGCAACGACGCGATGCGACGGCAGGGGCAGGGCGAGGCGGCAACGCGGCTGCGGCAGGTCCTGGCCAAGGTGGAGCAAGAGCGGCGGGACACTGATGCGCTGATCGCCAGGCTGCGTGCGCTGGTCAACGCCAAGCGGCTCGAGCTGAGCCGGCACGCGCAGGAAGAGGCGGCCAAGCCCGAGTGGCGGAAGGTGGCCTACGAGCTGTGCGCCGTGCTGGTCCACGAAAGCCATCGGATCGTGGCCTACGTCAGGCAGCGCGACGGCAAGTGGTGGCGCACGTGCGACGGCGTGGCGACCGAGGTGACGGCCGCCGAGGCGACGAGCGATAAGATGCGGGATGCCAACTCTGCGGGCGTGTTCTGGGTCAGCTACCAACGGCGCCAGTACGGCCAGCTGCCCGACGAGCCGTGTCCGGAGGCGATCCAGGTGAGATGGTCTGGCGACGTGTTTCGCGCGCTACTGCTTTGATGGCTCTGACCGCTGACGACCTCCATCCTTTGTCCATTGCACGGGCGCCGCAATTCTCTCGACAGAGCGCCGTCGAGGAAGACAATCTGACGTTGCAGTCTGAGTTGTTGTCGCTTGCTCGGTCGGGCGCGGCCACGCCCGTCGCCAGCAGCGCCGACGCGGTCACGCCAGCGGATCCGGCCACGACGACCCCGGCGTCGGATGCGGCGCCAGTGTCCGAGAACGGCGCCTCTGAGGCTATTGGGCAGCAGGAGGCTTGACCGCACGAGGTCCCGACCCGCCGCCTTCAGTGTACCCGCAGAGTACAGCACAGAGAGCCGCTGCGGCCGAGCGTAGAAGGGGCCAATCAAAGCGGCGATACAGGTAGAGGAGAACAAGAGTCGGCGCGCGGCACAGGCGCTGGTCGCGAACGGCGCAGACAGGAGTGTCGATGAGTTCCCATCGATCCACACGCAGCCGAGAGAAAGAGAGAGATGGATGGAGCGAGAAGTCAGCGGCCTCGCTTGTCTCCAGACAGGGCCCTCTGCGCGGCCAAGGCCTGCGGGGACGCCAGATGCCTTGCTTGTGACACGAGCCCAGAGGCCAGCCAACCAAGCAGGCAGCCGGCACACGACCAACAGAGAGGCGCTCACCTACCGGTAGCCTGGCGGCGCAAACAAAGAAGGAGGCGCGCGGGAGTCTACCGTATCACCGCTCGCTGCATATCCGACAGGCAGGGCAGGGATCCTTGGCAGCAGCCCCTGAGCAGCGTTGCGTTCTATCCTATCCGGTGCGCCTGGTCGCGCCCGGTCGACGCAAGAGGAGCAGCCACTCATGTGTGTAGCGCTTGTGATGAAGGTGGTGTGGTGGGTTGTCGAAGCAGGCTTCTTTGTGGCCGACAGCCAGCTACGTAGAAGGCCGGGGTCAGGCTCAGGGGGGCCTGGGTCAGGCGGCGTACGTGTCCCCGATCCAAGGGCGAACGGTACGCCGCGGGCTGAGGGCGTCTCTTGCCCCTTGCCTATGGCCACGCTACGCCTGCCTGCCTGCCAAGCCACGAGCGGGGGCCGTCTGCGCGGATGCGAAATTTGAGCTCGACTGGGGCCAGGCCTGGCCTGGCCAGCAGCCCAGCCAGGGGGGCAGCCCTCCATCCGCGATGCCCTTTCAGCGACCCCTTTGGGCCAGGCCAGGCCAGGACCAGCGCGCGTGCCGCCCACCCGCAGAGGAGCCAGATCGAGAGACCTTCTCGCCCTAGTTACTCAGACTGTAGCCTCCCTTGCCTGTCCTTCGCGATCAGACCCTCGAGTCCCCTCTGCTACGCGACCCCCCACACCATCGCCATCATCATCATCATCATCGCCATCGCCATCGCCATCCTTCTTCCTCTCTCGCCGCTTGACATCGCACCCATTCCGCTTCGTACCTACTACTGCCCACGCCTGCCTACGCCTTGCTTCGACGCCAAAAAGCACGCCCCGCCCCGCCCCGTCCGACCCCTTGAACCGCCACCCTCGCCTGCCCTGCCCGCAGGCCGGCCAGCAACCGCGCCACCACTTCATATATACCACCGTTTGCTGTAGCTCCGACACCCGGAATCACCCGCGCGTCGAACATCCGCGCCCACCTCTCTGACGACCCTTCCGAAAGCCAGACACATCGTCACCGGCAAAGCGACGCTCATCCTAACGATCCAACGGCCCTCTCCTGACGCTGCCCCTATTCTTCGGCCCCAGCTCGACTCTCGGCCTACGCAACCCATAAGCCCTGGCCCGTTACTCTGTTCGGGATCCGCTACCTGCTTCGATCCTGTATCGTTCACCTAACCTGCTCGTCCCCGCGCACCATCGGCTCGTCCTCTGCACCGAGAATCTTGGGAACCGCTACGATATCGGCCCCCCGTCAGCCTGGCACTTTCATCCTGCTTTCCAGGCCAGCCTCTGACGCGATCACCGTCACGTTCATCTCGCCTCCACGACCACCGTCCACACGGCCCTCGCCGTCAGAGCCCGCCAGTATTCCTTCTGGCCAACGACGTCCGTCTTTCTCTTCACTCCTCCCGACGAAGCTGCGCCATGGACATCCAGCGCAGCGACTACCACCTCTAGACTGTGACCACGATACCCGTTCCATCACCTTCGGCCATCCAAACCTTGAACCGAGCAACCAGCGCCATTGCTAGCAGCTAGCCCTCCTTGCCGCGCCAACAAACTGCGAGAGCAGCTCGCACCAGCTTCCATCAGCTGTCACCAGCACAGCCGGGAGCCCCCGCGGCCTTCTGTCCCGATGGCCAGCTCCCGCGAGCAGGGCCCTGGCATGCGGGCTACCGCGATACCCCAGTACTCCCGCCCAGGCATCGGCGACGGCGGCGCCAAAGACCACTCGTCTCATCCCGACCTCGGCACGACATCATCGGCTTCCAGCTCGTTTGCGCTGCCGCCTTCCGACGTCGAGACGACCAACTGGAACGCCGTCAAGATGCTGGCCAGCAAGTACGGCATCACCCTGAAGAGCGCGGCAGAAGTGCAGAGCTCGGCCGTTGCGCGTGCTCAGCGGGCCGAGGACCAGGGGACGCCCGACGAGGCCGCCGACACCGAGGATCTTGGTGTCGGGACGCCCTTCGAGATCATAGCGACAAAGCTCGAAGGCGGGCGCTTCATCTATCGCTTCAAGTGGCGTGGGCGTGGCACGCCGCCGAGCCTTGCACCGGCGGGAGGGCCCTCTACAGGGAATGGGCCGGGGCCGGGGCCGGGGCAGGAGGGAGGTGCCGACACCGATCTCCCTTTCGTTCCGCGCTCGATCTCGTCTGGAGCCATCGTTGGCGGCAAGGAGTCCGCAGCGGCCGCAAGGTTTCGCAAGTCGGGAAGCTTTATGCTCAAAAGCTCCCGCTCTATCCCGGTGCTTCGCGGAAACCGGTCCGCCACGGGCCAGCAACAGCGCAACGTTACCGCCTCGGGAGAAACGGGCAGCGGGGATCCGTCCTCGAGCGCCCTCTACCAGCCGAGTCGCTACCCGGCTGCTGCGGGTGCGGCACTCGGAGACCACGCGGCCCCAAAGAGCAACGCCTGGCGAGCTCTGGGTGTGAACCCGGCAGGCCCTTCAGCGCCTCCGCCCTCGTCCTTCACCATGGCTGACAGGTCAGCACACTCGGCAGCTGGCGGCTCGGTGGCCATGGCGCGTGCCGAGAGCACTCCGGTCAAGGGCGCCCACGCCAAGCGCAACTGGACTGGTCGCCTAGAGGAAGGCGACGTGCTCGGCGCGATCCTCGGCCTTCGGCACGAAGCCGTCCTGACGGCTGTAGAGCCGACCGGGATCCGACAGGCTCCAGGTGCGGGCGAGGCGCCAGGTCCGGAGCTTGCGCCAACGTGGGCCACCACCCCCGCGTTGAAGGATAGCGAGGGGCGTTCGCCGTCGCTGTTGCACGTCCGGCCCTTTGGCAACGACATCCTCCTGCAGCCTGATTCGGCTCGGGCGCGGAACAGCCCCGACGCTCCGGTCCCCTCGTCTGCTCCACACCCTACACGACCTCATCCCCTGATCTCGAACTCACTGTTGGCGGAACACACGCTGCCGGAGCTCGACTTTGGCACAAAGTTCGCCAAGTCTCCGCGTCTTCACCAGCTGCGCGAGACGCCGTCGTCAACCTCCATGGCCTCGGATGCCACTGCAAAGGGAGAGACGCTGCCGGACTCGGATGGTGGTGGCAACGAGGGCAGCCCGGCCATGTCTCATCCCGAAGCCGACGCCTCAGTAGAAGACGTCGGCACCGTCCTCTTCGACGTCCTGCAGGACTTTACGCGGCCATCGCCGAGCTCTGGCGTCAACGCGCCCGGATCTCCACGGTCGTCGCAGGGCGATGGCTTCTCGGCACACCGTCGTTTCAACTCGGCCGATCTGCTCACCAGCCATGGCGCGCAGGGCAGTGTCGAGGCGCAGAAGCACTTCATCGCCGAAGCGCAGTCGTTGCCCACCTCGGCAGCCCCTGGAGACGATCCGCGCTTTGCGCTCTGGGCCGTCCGCGGCGACAGCGGCGATGGCGTCCTGATCGCCGCCGGCCGCGACGGCGACACATCTCCGATGCAGTCATTGCTCCTAGCCTCGACCGGTCGCGGCTCCGCTGGCCAGAAGCGTCGAGAAAGCAGGTCGGCCTCGTCGACGTCCTCGTCTTGGATCATCGAGGATGGCAGCTCCGAGCGGACCGGACGCGGCGCTCGCCATCCGAGCAAGACGAGCGCCCGCGGTCCGCAGTCGTCGCAGCAGGGGTCCGACCTCTTTGCAGCGGGCAAGGCGGTCCTGCTTGCTGCCACGCCGGCCCGCATCGTCGCCGAGATCACATCAGAGATTGATCAGGCCCTCCTCACCGACTTCTTCTTCACGTACCGCGAGTACCTGGCCCCGACGGACCTACTCCGGCTCCTCACGCTCCGGTTCGATTGGGCGCTTGCAGAGCCGACCTCGGCCCATGACGAGGCACGCCGCCGCATCGTCCGCGTTCGGACCTATGTGACCATCAAGTTCTGGCTGCTGCACCACTTTGAGTACGATTTTCTGCCTAACCGCGAGCTGCGGCAAAGGCTGGCCAGGTGGCTCAACGATGTGATCAAGGATCAGAGGATGCAGTCGAGGCCTGCGGACCTCGGCATCATCAAGAGCCTGCACAAGATTGTCCGCGGCCTCAAGGCAACGTACGGCAAGAGCGGTGTTGGTGCTCTCCTCTACAACGACGCCGGGCGCGTGCACAGCGGCGGCACCGACGGAAGCCACAAAGATGTCCAGGCCGACTTCGATGGGAGTGCGAAGGAGGACCTCGAGCGCCACCCGAAGCAGGAGGCGGAGTCACCTCTGTCTCCAGCTGCAGACGACGTCGACCTGAGCTTTGCAGCCGATGAGGTCGGTGAAGAAGAGGACGAGGGCGCCGACTCCTTGCCAAGCCTCACCGGGGGGTCGTACGGCAGGCATGCATCAGGCAGCGAGACTGTCCAGGCGATACGAGCCGCCGCCCTCAAGGCAGCCGCCGAATCGGTGGTGCTCTCGCCTCACAGGCAGGTCAGCGCTCGCCTCAAGCCGACCGGCGCTTCTCAGTCGCCCAACATCGCACTACATGGCTCCCGCCCACCGCCCTTGCCCCATGCCAACAACACGCTGTCGAGGGTCTTTGTTCAGACCGTCGGGCGGCTGTCGCGGTTCAAGCGGGTGCTCGGCAGCCGTTCGACGTTGCTGCCCAGCATGAACCCGGCCGAGGCCAGCCACGAGGATCTCGAGTTCGAAGCGAATGACTCCGGCGATCTGCTCTTCATCCGCGGCGGTCTGGAGAGCTTCATGCAGTACTTTGACATCGACAGCAACTCCAGCACCACCTCTGGGCCGTCAGCGTCGCCGGCCAACAAATCAGTCGAGCGGCAAAGGGAGGGTGCCGAGGACGATGACGACGACGACGACCGAGAGGGTCAGGTCTCGGATGGAACGGCGATGGACGAGACCCCGAGCCTGAGTGCGGCGTCGGTCGACCACTCAACGCCGGCGAGCTCAATCGACTTGACGCCGCGCAGCAGCGACCACTCACCGTCTCGCGCGGCTGCTGCCAAGCAGGAGCTCGGCCTCGGGATCCAGGGCGTTTCATCCGACCTCTCGTCCGAGTTTGAAGACCTGGGCGAGACCGCGCAACCGGCGACCGGCCCCCTTGGCCTGGACTTGGGCGCAATCGGATCGCTCACGTCGGCCAGGCATCTGCAGCGAGGCGCAGACAATCTCCACCACACCACCAGCGATCAGACCCTGCGGTCGGTCTCCCGGACCGACGAAGCATCGGCAGCCGCGGGCAGTGTCGAGTACTCCGCCCGACGCGCTCCGTCGAGGGCCTCGAGCCGCAAAGCAGCACCGAGCATGCGCTGGTCGGTCAAGTCGCACGTTAGCGGGCCTCGCATCGTTCAGATTGATGACATCGACCTGTCGAGCGACGAGGACGACGGAGCGGTGAGGAGGGCACTGCGTCGCCTTCCCGGCGCTCGCGACCTTCGCATGGCCAACAACGTCCGCGATCTCGAACCGGTCCGGCAGAGCATCGACTCGATGGCCTCGTCGTTTGCCCAGGTGCGGACCGTGGAAGCATTCTCGACCTTCGGTGGCCGTCCGATGAGCGCCGGCAGCGTCTCCCTCGCACCGCCTAGCCAGCCCGCCTTTGGCATCGTGCATTCCGAGATGCTGGACCCGGACGAGGCGCTCCAAGGCTATGAGCTCGTCAAAGGCTTTCAGCTCGACGGCTTCGACAGCGATGACGATGAGCCTGGCGACGTCGAGGCTGCTCTGCGTCGGCTGGAGGGCATCATTGATGAAGACAAGCAGCGGGAGCGGGCAAAGAAGGTCGAGGTGCTCTGGCAGAAGTCGCTCGCTCGCAACGCTGGCGAGGGAGAAGGCGAGTCTAGCGGCGCATCGGCACCCGCCGACAGCCTCGATGACCACGGCGACGGCCGATCTTCGGTGGTGATCAAGCCGGATCGCCGCTCGTACAGCTCTGCCGCCTCGCTGGCCGACAACGAAGCCGAAGCGCGCGCCGACACCTCTGTCTTGTCGGGCCGCTCCGCCGACGCAGACCAGGAGGAGCCGCAGGAGGAGCTGTCCGACAAGCTGGACTCGTTCCTCGACCTCGCCGAGGATGACAGCTTCAGCGCACCTCGCGCTCGGCGCGAGTCGGCGTCCTCGAGCCTCTCGTACGACGAGCAGCGTTCACCGGCGCCGTCCCTTCGCGCAGTGCTGCCGGCCCCCGGGGCGTCGACGGAAAGCGTCAGGTCGGCAAAGACGGCATCGCGCGCCGGGCCATCGAAATCTCCGGCGGCACGGTCGAGCGCCATCGCCTCACCGTCCACGTCCGCGTCTGGCAACCAGCACGTCCGCAAGAACGCTGCTCCCACTACCACCGCCGCAGCCGCAGCCGCAAGGACGATGCCGCCCCTTCGCATGGCCGCCGGGCCGGGCATCAACCCGCCGCCGGTGCATCGCTCATTCCTCCTCGCATACCGGTCCGATGTCGTCGCGAGGCAGATGTGCCTGATCGAGGCCGAGCTGCTGCAGGCCGTCAGCTGGGATGAGTTGGCCGGCTCGCGCTGGAAAGAGCGCCGCTACAAGAGCGAAGTGACCGATTGGGAGAGCTTCTACCGCGACCGCGTGCGGGACCGCCTCGAGGCGCAGAAGCACAACCGCATCTACCGCGAGTGTGCCGTCGAGGCCATCGTGGCGCGCTTCAACCTCACGTCGAATTGGGTGGCGAGCGAGGTGGTGCTGACGCAGAACCTCGACGAGCGCGTGGCGGTCGTGAGCAAGCTGATCCGCATCGCGCTGCGGTGCTACCTCCAGTGCAACTACGCCTCGCTGGCGCAGATCATCTTTGGCCTCTCGACGCCGTGGGTGGAGCGGCTGCGGCGCACGTGGTCGCGCGTGGGCTACTACGAGATGCGCATCTGGCGCGACCTCAACTCGTTTGTCAACCCCAAGAACAACTTCCGCCACCTGCGCAACGCCATGCACGCCATGGCCGTCGACGCCGGCATCGAGGATCTCGTCACCTCGGCCGGCTCGGCATCGTTTGCGGGCGTCTCGACGGCGGCGCACCTGGCCAAGCAGGGCTGCATCCCCTTCTTTGGCCTCTTTGTGTCGGACCTGATGGTCAACGACCTGCTCCCGAGCCACCTCGACCCCTCGTCGCCCGACGCTGCCCCGCACGTCGACGCCGACACGGGCCGGCTGTCTGGCCTGGCCAAGCCCGACGCATTCGACCACCTGGCGCCGCTGCCGCCGGGCGTGGAGCTCGAGCCGCTGGTGAATCTCTACAAGTACCGCGTTGTCTCGTCGACGATCAAGCACGTCCTCGCCTTCCAGGAGCGCGCCAAGGCCTACAGCTTCGAGGCCGATGCGGGCGTCTACGTAAAGTGCCTCAAGATCCGCTGCCTTCAGGGCGAGCAGCTCGCCAAGGTCTCGCACGCCGCCGAGGCATGAGAGCGCTGGCTGATGCACCAGCCCCCCAGGCCGAGCCAGCTACGGCCTCCCCGCTTCAGCTTCAGGTTTCACATCGCGTCATCCCGGCCTCTCTGGGCTTTCTCGCCTTCGTCACCGTTCACCGTCCACAGCAGCAGCAGCCGCGCGTCAATCGTCCAGGCCGTTCGTCGCCACGCCTGCGCTGGACCTGGGTCTCCAATCGTCACCGTCCCTACCTTTCCCGTCCCGCTCCGCCCCGCTCGAGGGCTGCCGACACACGCTTTCGGTCGTTTCTCTTCGCCTTTCATTCGCCTCCTCAGACTGTATACCACCCACCGAACCACGCTCCCTCACCTTCCTCGGCCTTGCCGTTGCCGTTGCCCTGCCCCATCCTGCGCCGCCACCGCCATCGCTACTGCCACGCCACGCTCGCTCAGTACCGCATCCGCAAACACCTTCGTTTCGCCCCGGTCCCTGTCCCTCTCTCTATTCTTATCCGCTTCCACCTCGGCTTTTTGTTGCTCTGAAACGGCATGCCGTCCGCGCCAGAGTCGGCGTCGTGACCTCGCCTCATCTCCACGCAGCGACGAACCCAGCCCGGTCGATGCAAAGGACCCACTCACTCGTCCGACATCTCGCCTCGATGGCTGCGGGTTCAATCAGGCGACTGCGGAAGTATGCAGAGCAGATGCAGGGCGATACAAGGTACGATGACAAGGCAGAGGGTAGGGGCGATATGGACGTCGGGGCAAGCCTAGCCAAAGTTGAAGAGACGGGCGCAGAGGTCCTGCTGTCCCGTCTGTTCGACGCGCCTCTTTTTGGCCCTCTCGTCGCGCTTGAGGGCCTCGATGGCCTGCCTGGCCTCGCGCTCGTCGTCGTCCTCGGCATCGGGGTCCAGGCCAGCCTCGCGGGCGCGGCGCACGGCCTCGTCGCGCTCCCGACGCATCTCGGCGTCCTCGTCCTCTTCCGCCTTTCGCTTGCTCCTCTCGGCGCGGGCGCGCCCAGAGGCAGAGGGGAAGACGTCGATCCGGCTGTAGCTCGCACCCAGCGTCGAGTCCACCGTCCCGCCCGCGCCGTAGCCGCCCGGAAGGCTGTACGCCACGACGGGCACCGGCGGCGGCTTGGCCGCGGCGCGGCGCTGCTCGGGCCGCCGCAGCGTCTTGGCCGTCTCGGTGTCAAAGAGGGTGCCGTAGGTGATGTCGAGGAAGTCGTCGAGCTCGTACCGGTCCTTTGTAAAGGGCTGCGCCAGGATCTTGGCGAGCGACGTAACCGAAGACAGGTAGTGCTGTTCGCCGCCCCTCTCGGCCTGGTTCTGCACCGCGATGGCCTCGCTCGATCCGACCTGGGCCCGCGGCGCCGAAGCGGCGAGCGAGGCGCCAAACGTCGCCAGCTCCCACAGCGAGCTCTCGATGGCGTTGGTCTTGAGCGGATCCGTCTCGTCGGGGTCGAACGGATCGGCGACGCCGGCGGGGCCGATGTTGAGACGGTCATTGTCCCACTCCTTGTGGATCATGCCGAGGCAGCGCGGGTGGCGCTTGAGCAGGTTCCACACAAACGGCAGCACCGACGCAATGGCGGCCGGCGGGGCGCGCAGCGAGAGGCGCGAGAGGCGCTTGGCAAACGACGCCACCAGCGCCGCCGACAGGTGTGTCGAGCTGAGGAAGACGTCGAGCAGGCGCAGGAAGCGCGAGCGGTAGCGCATGTGCAGCACCGACGCGTCGAGGAGCGCGTAGAGGCGCTGGTAGAACTGCGGGTAGTCGAGGTTGTGGCGCGTCACGAGCGTAAAGATGGCGTTGAGCGCCAGCAGCGCCGTGGCGCCCTTGGAGTCGAGGCAGCCCACCAGGAAGTCGTGCAGCATCGTCGGCCGCGTCAGGTGCGGCAGGATCTGGGCGTGCAGCCGCACCAGGATCTCGTGCGTCGCCGCCAGGCTCAGCTCGCCGCCCACCAGACCGCTGCCGTTGTCCTTGCGCCGCGGCAGCAGCAGGTCCGACCAGGCACGCGAGAAGGCGGCCTTTTGCACGTCGAGCCGGTGCAGGCCCTCGTGGAAGCTGAGTTCCCTTCGTTTCCGGCGCGGCCCGCCCCCCGCCGCTGCCGCTGCCTTGGCGGCCGCACCGAGCCCCTCGACGGCCGACTTGTCCTGACCCTTGCGCTTGGTGACGTTGCCGCCTTCGTCGTCGCTGTCCGAGAACCAGCCCTCCATGTCGACCTCTTCCTCGGCGGCGGCGGCGGCTCCGTCATCCGAGTCGCCGTCCTCGGTGACCTTGAGCCCGTTGGCCGCCTTCTTCTTTCCCTTCTTGGCCGACGCGGCCGAGGCGAGCGGGATCGAGAGCTCGTCGACGAGGAAATTGTTGATGTCCGCCTGGTCGGCCGGGATGGCAGTGAGGAGGAGGAGCAGCGAGAGGCCGTTGGCGCGGAGGCTCGGGTTCCTGGCCGCGCTGGGCGACGGCTTCCGCAGGATGGTGCTGATCTCGCGCAGAGCGGCAAAGCGGACGTCGTCGTACTCCTGCATTCCGTTCTCCGCAAACTTGGCGCGGACGTCTTCGGCCGGGCCCTCGTCCCTTGCGAAGGCACGCCTGCCCTTTGTCGTCTCGCCGTTTGTGAGCTTGTCGAGCGATGGCGGACCGGCGACGAGCGAGACGATCAGGGCACGCCACGGCGCCAGCGACCACTGTCCTCGCCTCGACTCGTCGGCGGTGGTGGTCGAGGACGAGGCAGCGGTAGAATGAGCGGTGGCGGCGGCGGCCAGGCGGGAGAGGGAGGACGAGGCGGCGACCTGCAGCTCCATGAGAAGCTCGAGGCTAGTAGATCGCAGCTCTACGAGATCGTGGTTGAGCAGGGCGCAAAGGAGCTCGATGCACTCGTTCCACCGCTGGCGGATCCAGCCGGCGACGGCCTTTTCCGCCTCGTCGCGCTTGACCACGCCGCTACCCCCTCCAGGGCCGATCTGGCCGTCTGCGTCGACCTCGTTGTCGAGGAGCACCCTGTCCTCGCTGCAGAGCGTCTTGAAGCTGCGCGAGAGGATGTGGATGCACCGGTGTACGGCCTTGGCAGAGTGCTGGCGGTCGCTGATCGTTCGCTCCGATGCCGCGGCCGGAGCGCTGTTGGAGAGCACGGAGTGCTTCTTTGCGATAGCGATGAGGTCGGCGAGCGGGTTGAGGTCGGATGAGGTGGCGAGGGCCTTTTGGAGCGAGGCGATCTGGGTGAGGAGCTCCGAGGGCGCCTCCTTTGCCGGGGGGACGGCGGCGGCGGCGGCGGAGGTTGCCGCCTTCTTGGTCGAGGGAGCCATGTTTTCTCTGTCCCTCTCCAAGGTTCGGGGAGATGGTGAGCAAAGTGGAGCGTGATGGGTGTGAGAGATGGTAGTGGCGGGGCAGCAACGAGGAGCGGCAAGGACTGGAGTTGCCGCCGCCGGTGCCAGAGGGCGGCCAGAGCAGACGGCCAGCGCCAAAGCAAAAAATTCCACCAGGGGCCGGCCCCTCGACGCCAGGCGAGCAGCCTCCCAGGCCTCAACAAAATTCCTAGCGCGCTCACTGCCGTATTCCGAGATGGCCTGCAACAGCGCTGCCCTCGCGGCGGCTGGCTAAGCTAGCTTCCTTCCGGCCGGGTGCGACCAGCATCGACAGCACGCGGCCACGCCTGCCATGCATCAAGACGATGGGATGGGTAACAGCTTGGCTGAGATGGATCACGACGATGACAGGGAGACGAGGTATACATGCTGCGGGATGCGGAGGGCGGGGAAGGAACAGGGGGCCTTAGGGTTGGGGGGACGAGGAAGATTAAAAGAGCCATGGCAGAGACCGGAGGAGGGATGAGGGGGGAGCGTCGAGATGGACACGACGTCGAGCCATGCCTGCATCGACGACGGCGGCGGGGACGAGGTGGACCGGCATATAGCGCGAGCGTGGGCGCGGGCGCGGGCGCGGGCGCGGCTCCGTCACCGCAAGAGGGGCTGGAACTCCATGATCTGGTCGTACGTCTCCCTGCGCAGCTCCTCTTTGGTCACGCTGTTCTTCTTCATGTCAAAGTGGAAGAACTCGGGGTCCAGCGGCGGCGCGCCCGGCTCGTCGTCGGCGTCGTGGTAGGCGGCCAGGTACGGGTGCTCGAGGCACTCTTCCACCGTCATCCGCTTCTTGGGGTCAAAGGTGAGGGTGCGCGTCAGAAAGTCGAGCGCCTCGGCCGTGGCCATCGGGAAGACGCGGCGGAAGTCCTGGCGCTTCTTGAACGGCATCGACCGGATGTAGTCGCGCGAGCGGCGCGAGTTGATGTTGTAGACTGGAAGGGGCGAAGGGACGCGGGGCGAGGGAGAGAGAAGGGAGGATGAAAGAGACCGTCAGCGGACGATGTCCCGCCACCGAGACGCACGCAGTCCATCGCCATCCTGTGTGGACACTCACATTCTTCCAGTGTCGGAGTGCCGAGCAGCTCGAGGATGCGCGACAGCTGGTCGTGGTAGTCGCGCCCCGGGAAGAGGGGCTTGCCCGTCAGCATCTCGGCGAGGATGCAGCCGACGGACCACACGTCGATGGCCTTGGTGTACCTCTTGAACGTGAGCATAATCTCCGGGGCGCGGTACCAGCGGGTGGCCACGTATTCGGTCATAAAGCCCGTGTCCTCCTCGGCCGTGAGGAGCGAGCGGGCGAGGCCAAAGTCGCACACCTTGAGGTCGCAGTTGGCGTTGAGCAGCACGTTGCCCGGCTTGAGGTCGCGGTGGATGACCTCGGCGCAGTGCATCGGCTTGAGGGCGCGCAGGATCTGGTAGGTAAAGTACTGGCAGTGGTCGTCGGAGAGGTGCTGGGTGCGGATGACGCGGTGCAGGTCGGTCTCCATGAGCTCCTGGATCAGGTACACTTCCTGGAAGCTCTCGTAGCTCGCCGGCTTGATGATGTCGAGGATCGAGATGATGTTCTCCGACACGTCGCACTCCTGGAAGTAGCGCAGCAGCTTGAGCTCGCGCAGCGTGCGCAGCGCAAACATCTGGTGCTCAAACGGCTGGATCTTTTTGATGGCCACCTTCTGCCCCGTCGAGCGGTGGATGGCCGAGCAGACGACGCCGTACGCCCCTTCGCCGATGACGTCGCAAACCTTGTAGCGAGAGCCGACGTTGAAGCTGATCAGCGACTTTGGCTGCGCACGCTGCTCGGCGCCCGCCTGCTGCGGTTGCGGCGCCGGCCGAGGTTGCTGCGCCGGTGCGTTGTGGGGCTGTGGCGCCTGCGATCGGTGCTGTTGCTGCGGCACCTGGGGCAGCTGTGCTTGCGGCGGCGCTTGCGGCTGAGGCTGCGCCTTGTTCTGGATGTGGTGCGAGAGCTGGCGCGAGGCGGCGTTCGCTGCGGCGGCGGCGGCAGCAGCGGCAGCAGCAGCCGCATGCTCTGGGTCGACGTACCGGCTGGGGTCGCGCGCGGTCGTGGAGCGGGTGTATGCCTGCGACTGAGAGATGGTGGTGCGGGCCGCGACCGACACAATCTCGGCCGGTGACATGGTCGACGACGACGCTGAGCAGGGGCCGGGAGTCATGGGAGCGTCTGGGCAGATCCGCGAGGAGGATGTGAGCGCGTAGGCAGGCTCGTAGGGGTTCGAGAGGACGGCAGCCATGACGTTCTGATTGAGGCGAAGAGCCGGCTCTTGATGTAGAGAAGAGGCGGGGCGAGAGGTCGTCGGCGGGACCCAAGGGCTGACGAGGATCGTGCTCCGCCTTTATGAGGAGGGAAGGGTGGAGAAGGAAATAAGGGGCAGAGGGAAACCAGAAGGGATGAGGGATCAACGGGGCGGGGGGCGTGGTGTCCTAGTTAGCTCGGGGCGGTCGAGGTTATGTATGTATGGTTGGGGTACGCCGGCACGCCGTCGGGCAACAAAGGGCAACGACAGTGCAGGGAGGGGCACGAGCAGCGGCACCTTGCGCCCCACTGCCGACGCTCTGGTGGCGTCGAGCGCTCCGAGATGGACATCGCGGACCGGACAATGCTCGAGCGCCGACGCCCGTCCGCCGGTCAGCTCCAGCCAGCACGCCAGCCAGCCCGCCCGTCAGCCTCGGCGGGTAGCCCAGGTGCACGGCGCAAGGTGTAAGACGAGGCAACACGAGGGCCATATATGCGTCTGAAGCGGAAAGACAAAGGGCCCTTCGACGTCGCGCTCGGTGAGGGTATCGTCCAGAAGGACAGGATCAAAGGGGACCGGACGGCCGCCGCAAGCCAGGCCTAGCCTAGCCTCGTGCAAACGGCAGCAGCAGCAGGCTGCACACTACATGTACTACCGGCGCGCGCGTGTGCTGTGCCGATGGAATCGAGGGCAGGCCGCTTCCGTAGCCCTGCTCGATACAAACTGTCCTCGAACGAGGCTAGGCAAGAGGTGAGCAGAGTCGGGAAGGCGAGCAAGCTAGAGAGACGCGAGCCGGTAAACAAGCCAACGTACGTACGGCGGCGAGCTTTGATTTCTGCGCGAGCTGCAGAAATCCGCTCCATGAAGGCGACGATGCAAGTTGCCACCGCTCGGGCCCCGCTCCTCCTGATCTATACCAACGATGAGGCGCTGCTGCTCCTCCCGCCGCTTCCGAGGAGCTTTACATATCTAAAGCGAGCCTATGCAGACAGGTAGGCAAGTACGGCAGGCAGGCAGGCAGGCGGGCAGGCAGGTGATGCCGTGGAACCGTACGGCCGAGCAGGCTGGCCAGTCCTTGGCGGGTGCTCACGGAGCGTCGGGCAGGGGTACAGAGGAGCGGCACGCCGGCGTACGCAACGTCGACCCCCTCGGGTTGCACGGCGGGGCCGTACGTGTGGAAGGGCACGCACGCACGCAAGCGGGTGCAATATCGAGGGCGAGGGCGTTGACAAGCAACCTTGGACGCTGTTGCGCCAAAGGCGGACAGCGGTGTCCACGCGCCGTACGTACGCCTCGGTGCTGGGCGCAAAGCAGGCAGGCGAGGCCGGGCGGTTGGCGCTGTGGGCGCCCACCGCCCATCAGCCATCAGCCATCAGCCGGGCCGGACAGAAGTGTACCCTGGCCTTGCTTTGGCTTTCTGGTTGGCTTGCAGTCAGGGCGCTTAGAGGTCGAGGAGAGGAGAGCAACGAGGGAGGGTCAAGGTGGGCCCCCTTTGTCCCCCTACCTTGCTCTGCTCGCTGGCCGTGCACCCGTCCCTCGCTGCTGGTGTAGGGCTGGAGACAGGGCGGTGAGGCGAGTGACCGGCCAGTTGCTTTGTTGTGCACCCATCCGGATGGCTCCCCTTTGTTGCCGTGGACGCAACGTAGCCTAGAACAGCTCGACAAAGTGGCTGGGCCGTAGGCAAGGCGAAGGCCGGGCAGGCCAGGCTAGAAAAAGGTCCGCCCTGGCAGGAGGGCAGGGCGTCGTTGTTTGCGCCCACCTGCAGCCAAGCCAGCAGCAGCGCCCCGCTCCGAACGCCCCGGCCTGGGCCTGCCTGCCTGCCTGCCTGCCTGCCTTGCGCCCGCCCTTGCTTGCGCCCAACCAAATCTCTCCCTTGACGAGGTGCCGGCAAAGGTTGACAGGAACAGAGGGGCAGGCAGGGGTAGGCTAGGCAGGCGATGAAACAAGCAAGGCGCCCACGCACCTTGCACCGGCCGCCTTGCCGCGACACCGCCAGCCAACAACGCACTTGCAACCACACACACGCACACATGCCCACTCGCACAGCAGCACGTACGGACGGACGGACGGGGATGCGACGACGCACAGAAAAGACACGTACGGCGACGGCTCCTTTGTGGTAGGCAGGTACGGTACCTGCCGTCGATGTTTGATCGTCCACCTCTTTGTCGCACGACGAGGTCATTCATCGGAACCGGCTCGAGGCACAAAGGGCGCCGTGTACTGTGCCCTTGACGCTCGCTGGCTCTCCATCGCGTCGTTGCTGGCTTCCAAGTCACCCTTGCCTGTCTCGCGCTCGATCGATTCCTCCGTCCGCACCCACCGCTCCCTCCATGACCCTACGAGAACCCCAATTAGCTTAGCTTGTGTTCGTTCCACCTTTCCGCCCCGTCGGCCTGACGACGTTGCCACATCCCGAACAAGGAACCATGGCAACCGTGCGACCCGGCCCGACAACGCGTTAGCCAGCAGCCTCAGCCATAACCCTCCTATGTAGTTACTGCTCACCACCGATCCTGACTCTGACCCAACCCGTCAATGGCCTCTGCCAGCCTCGTCGCCCGTGACAACAACCGATAATGACATACAGCCTCGTACTGTAGCGCCTGTACCGATAAAACGAGTGTTCTTTTCAGCATCAAAGGCTATTTCTAGAGCCAGAAGTGGATGACGGCAGGTATAGCGAGTGCGGGCAGATGCGGAGGTCGATGCGAGTCGAGATGCTGATGTAAAAGACAGTAGGAAAAGCTCAAGAGCAGACAGATAGGGGGAAAAGTGAACCTGAAAAGAGTGTGTGAAGGTCGGCGCTAACTACGAGGACCAGGCCGGCTTCAGTACCGCTGGGCGCGGATGTCGGGCGAGTGCTCGTAGATGGGCGAGAGGTCGGCATCGTCGGCGGTGCTCGAGGTATGGCTGTACATCGACAGCGTGCCCGTCGTCAACACCGATGGCGTCCTGGCCAGACGCGCCAGCATCTCTTGCTGCTGCGCCGTCATCCCGCTCCCCTCGGCATGACCAGGATTGCGGGGCAGAGGCAGAGGCAACGGCATCGCCGCGTCCGCCGCCATCGCCCTTGCGGCGGCGCGTCGGGACTCGTCGGCGTCGTGCTCGCTCTGCCGCTTCCAGTAGTAGGACATGTGCTGGTACATCTCGGTGCTGGGCGATGCGGCGCCCATCGAGCCTGCTTCGCCGTCATCGCCCACCCCGTGCCCGCCGGGCGGAGGAGGTGCGAGTCCGGAGTGAGGAGGGTCGTTCAAGTGCGCTTCTTCCCTTGCCTTTGCCAAAGTAGGATCGCCCGACCTGGCAAATGGGAAGACGTCCGACGTGGCAGCCAGCGTCGTGTGGGGCTCGAGCGAGATCCGACGTGAAAGGCTGCGCAACGTGCTCTCCGAGTCCGAGGCCTGGTGGCCGGAGCGAGAGCCTTGGCTCACCGGCGGCGCCATCCGTGGACGGCGAGTGCTTGTCCACCTCTTCATCGACGCGTTGTTCGACGCCGAGCTTGGCGGGTATGGTCCACGTGCCGCCGGTGCGTTGGCATCCGAAAAGGGGTCCCGCGACGGCGGCAGGATGACCTGATGGCTGGGGTGGTGGTACGACGAAGCGATCGAGTGCGACTGGAGCGACGACGACGCCGACAGCTGCCGGCCGTGCTTGCCAAACGATGGCGAAAACATCGACGTCAGGCGCACCTCGTCCATCTCCCTGTGGCGAGGCGCGGCTGCGATCGACGTGAGCGTGGCCCTGCTGATCCTCGACCGCTCCTGCTTCTTCTTGCTTCGGCGCTGCGCCACAATGTACAACAGGATTCCTAGGAGGAGCAAGCCCGCGACGCTGACCCCGACGGCTGGGCCGATTGTCTTGCTAGCTGATGACGGCGTATGGGCCGCTGGGGGAAGCACGGCGGCAGCTGCGGCCTCTGACGGGTCGGGTGCAGCGGCCTTCGTCGCGACGGGCTCCGGTGTCGGCTGCGGCAAGGGTGCTGGAGGCACAGACGAGCCGGCTTGGGTTGCATCCTTGGTCGCGGCGCCCTGGGTAGCCTGCGAGGCTGACGAGCTGAACGTGCTCGTCTCCTGGTGTGGCTGCTGCGGTGGTGGCTTCTCGGAGCTCTTTTCCGGGGCTGAGGTCGTGGCCGTCTGCTGCTGCTTGGGTGTCTCGTGCTGCTGCTGCGACGTGCTCGACGTCTGTGCCTGCTCCTTGTGTTTCGCTCCGTCCTCGGCCTTCTTCTTGTGCTCGCCCTCCCTTGCGCCGGCGTGATCCTTGTCCTTGCCGTCATCCTGCGGCGACTTGTTGCTGCGGTCCCCGCCCAGCTTCTCGTTGGCGGCAGCTTGCTGCTTTTCGCTCTCTGTCTGCGAGATTTTGCTCTGCCGCCGGCTCTGTTCCTGTGAGGGCTCCTGCCTCTTGCGTGCCCCCGTGGCACCCTGCCTCTCGCGTTCCGCGTCCGCTACGGGCTCGCCGTTGGTCGACTGACTCCGCCTGAGATGCTTGTGGATGCTTCGAGAGGTCATGGTTGAGGATCACGGTGAGGCAAGAAGATGGACTGCAATGCTGATGTAGACGAGAAAGGCTACCGCGCGGACTGCGTCGAGCGAGGCGTGATTGGGCGAGCCTGCGACCAGCGTTGGGGCCGTCCGATGATGTCGAGATGGTGAATGCTGCAGGGGCAGGGGGGTGGGTCGGCGAAGAGGCTCCGATACCGGCGAGTGGGTGGGCGAGGCGAGCCCGAGAGTCAGGAAGGTGGGCTGGCCGCGCGAATCTGCCAGAGAGGTCAAACGAAGGCCAGCCTCTCGAGAAGAGGAAGCCGAAAGCTGAAAAGGTGGTGGTGGTGCCGGCGGTGGTGGTGGTGGTGGTGGCGACAACGTCTCTGGCGGGATCGGCCGTGGTAGAGAGATGTCAAGGCGATGGTGATGCCGAGTAGGTAAGGCACCGCCAGGCACGGCCAGGCGAGGCAGAGCAGGGCAAGGCGACGAGAGACCGGCTCTCTGGCTTGCTCAGTGACCGACCTACGCCCGGAAGTCGCTGCAATGAATGGTCCGAGGGTGGGCGTTTCGGGAGTTGGCCCGCCGAACTGACGGCGGGAGGGTGGCGATGGAAGGCAAAATAAGCTAACTAGGCACGGGTAGGGAGCGCCGCGCTGGCCAGCCAGGCGTGATGGGGAACCTCAAGGTGGCGACGAACGGGTGCCGACAGGAGACAGAGGGGTGGGACTTGTGCAACCAGCGGTCGCGGTCGTTAGAGGTGTGGGGAGAGATGGGAAAGGGGGCGAGAGGGATGGATGGAAAGGAAAGATCGAGGGCGGTCAACCTCGAAGCCATTCGGGGCGGGCGGAGGGGTGGGTGGGCGCAGGCAAGTGGTGGCAATCTACGTATCTGCGCCCTTGCCGCTGCCTGTTCTGTCACACTACTAATCTCGGTCCTGGTTGCACGGCAAGCCAAAGGGTGGGTCATCGAGCAAGACGGGTGAGGAGTTTGAGGTGCACAACAGGCCGGCCAAGGCTAGCTAGGACGTAGCCAGCGCGAAACGAGACCAACGCCGACGAGGTCGAGATGAATGCAGGGCTTGGGTCCAGGCTGCCTCTACTGTGCTTGCCTATGTACAGGGAGGCGGGTCGAGGAGATGCCAAGGGGGCCCGTGACAGGCGGGCAGGACACGACATCAGCTGCTGCTACAGCAAGCAAGAGTAGGTAACAGCACGTCGTGTATTGCGCCGAGGGCGGGCAGCAGGCGAGCCTGTTGACGCCCAAACGAAGCAGCTGCAGGCAGGCAGGCCGGCCCGCAGCTGTTGGCCTCTCTGTCTCTTCTGTGTGTGTACGCAGCCCTTGCGCGACCTTGTCCGAGGCGTCGGCGCGCCGACGATGGCCGCCAAGGCACAGATAGAAGCCAAGCAGCCAGCCGCCGTCGTCGAGTCGCGCCTGCCTCTGCTTTGCATCAAAATGGCCTCGGTCGAAGCCCAGGCAGGCCGGGTAGGCGGGCGACGGGGAAGCAAGGACCCTTTGCAGGGTAGCATGATTCGAGGGCGGCGGCCCGGGGAGGCGGGGATCTAGGCTAGGCTCAAGGGGGGCCCAAAGCCTTGGCCTTGGACTTTGTTGGATCTGGCGTGGCAGGCGATGCCATGGATACGTGAGCAGGCGCCCTCACCGACTAACTTAGATACATAGCTTTCTCTGCGCACGCCAAGAGGTCGGGTGGGCGTATGGCGCCTGGCTTGGCCGTCTGCCGTACTTAGCAGGCAGAGACAAGCACGCCTGGTGATCGCAAGCAAGCCGGCTGCGCGACCTCTAGCTAGCCGTTCAGGCCGTCGCTGGTGTCGTCGTCGTCGATGGCCGCCCGGCGGCTGGCTGAGCACGCTGTGGCCGGTTGGGAGCAGGCGGTCCAACTCTGTCCGTTGGGCGTCGTCGAAGCGGTTTGCATCGTTGCACGGCTGGCCCGGCCTTGTCGACGTGGGGTTGGACCTCGTCGTCGAGCCGTGCCGTCGCGGCGTGTCGTGCCTGCCTGCGCTTGGACCGGTGGGGTATGTAGGCCGGGGATCTTAGCCGTGCCCAGGCCTGCCTGCGTCCAAAGGCCCCGCGTGGCAGCCAGCAGGCAGGCCCGCCCGCGGCCGAGTCACTCCGGCACGTACGGTGGACGGGCCATCCTACGTAGCCTGAACCCCAGCC